TTAAAAATCTTTTCATTTGAATGACATATTTCTTGAAACATCCGATGCCAAAAATTCTTACAATCAACATATGGCCTCATCGCCTGGTCGACTTCTAAAATCTTGCGATTTCAAATGATATCTTGTTCTCGGGTCTTCTTTAACCAGTACTTTTACAAACATCATTAATCAATTGACAAAAGCTTGCATATGGCCTTTTTATGAGTCCACTGTTTATGTCAATTCTCGAGTTTTTGAGAAAAGTAATTCCTTTTTTTGAGTAAAAATGAATAAAAATAAAATCTTTGGGTACCTTCTTTTATTTCTCAGTATTTTCTTGTTTAATTTTTATGGTTAATTAGTTAATCAATTACCATAGCTAAATAGTGTCACAATTGAGTGTTGGTTTTTTCTTTTTATTGATAAAGCTTCCACTATTTTTAGCCTTTTTTTGCTTGTAGATGATGCTTATTATATTTCAACCTTGAAAATGGCTAAATGTATAGATAAAAGCGCTTGGATAAAAAGCATATATAATTGGACAGTTTTTATATAATTTATCATCTGAAAAGAAAAAATTATTAGATCACCTGAGAAATTGTATAAAAGACTAAAGAAAAACACCTTGTCTGCCATATTGAATGTAATGTGCGTGAAAGAAGATTGATGTCTAAATGCACAAATATTTATTTATTTATATATATATATATATATATATATATATATATATATATACATACATTTACACACATCAATATGTGTATTTTGATATATATATATGTGTGTGTATATATATATATATATACACACATATACATGTACACACTGTGTGTGTATTTATATTTATATATATATGTGTATGTATATATATATATATATATACACACACACACACACGTGTATCTGATGTGAGAAGATTACCCTATTGTCCTAAGCATAGCCAATGATCATACAAGACATCTATCTGATTGATATGGTGTCAATGATTCTGAGCCATACAAAAGAGTGGTCAAATGGCTGTTCTATATACACTTTATATATCTCCAAGGTTTATAGCAACTGGTTTTCCTTAGATGTCACCCATCCAGGTACTTGCCAGGCTCGACCTTTCTTAATTTCAGTGATTGTACAGGAACTGGTGTTTTCAAAATGGTGTGGCTGTAAACTATAGATGAATTTTGATGTAATTTTTTTGTAATAATTGCTAACAATAACTTATCTCTCTCTGATTAAAAAATAAAAAATATGTCTATCATTCTTTATCATGACAAATTATCTGAAAAGAAATGAGCAGAATGCATCATTTGTTTTATGTGTTGACGACTATTTGCAATGTGGTGTGTGCATCCTGTGTGTGTTCCTTATAATACAATTGGCTTATTACTATTTATATGTTAAAAAAAAAAAAATTCAGCAAAAATTCTTTTGGACATTTGTTGTCCTGATGATTATCAACTAATGAAGTGAACCTCACAATCAACCATGAGAAACAACCTTGACAAGGAATGTCACTGAGTGAACCATAACCTTAATAAATTACATTTTTAGACAAAGATGACCAAAGAATGATGTTTTCTATAAGACAGTGATCACTACCAGACAAAACAGAGGAACACGGAAAGATGCAGAGAAAGGCATAGACAGTAATGAGTCGACCTGCCACAACGTGAAAAGGAAGATGCTTCACATCATACTGTTAATCTCCCCTTAGATCTGCCTTGCTTTTCTACAAACTGAATAAAATTTGCTTACTGCTGCAATCGGATCATGGTCTTATTTTGTGTATAACGAGTTATTTTTTAAGCCATAGAATCTGGCCAAAGAGATATATTTTTAAGTCATAAGTGTTTGACTGGAAGAAGCTGCACCCTGAGAATGAATTTGGTATCTGACCTGAGTTGCAATGCTACAGAAGCTTGCAAGTGGCTGCAATCTGTGGTGGATCCTGTGATCCATACTCATGATATTGGGGTGACTTCTTTTTTCTCCCTCGGTAGAGAACCTGTTTTGAATTTTTTCTCTCTCTCTCTCTCTCTTTGTGTCACGGAATCGACCCACTCGCAGGAACATTTCTGTTTTGAAAACTTATGACTTATCTTGACAAACACTATTGAAACTGTATTTTGCTTTGTTTTTTTTTAATACATTTGTTATTAACTTATTGTCAAAAATGTTATTAAGTACAATATTTATTGACTTTTTGTAGATGAGGGCTCTCAAGCAACATCAACATACACCAGTCAAATTGACATGGAACGCTTTCGTAAACTTTTGGCTGCTGAGGAAGAGAACTTGAAGAATGCTTGTGCCACACCAAACCAACATGATATTTTTGCCAAAATTCAAGCTGATAGTGGTAAATACTTTTTATTTCTATTCATCATCTTAAAAGAGGAAATAATGATTGCTAATTAGTATTTTTTGTATGAGAATTTTTGAATCCCTTGTTTCCTGTTTAGGATTGGGTTTCCAGTTCCTTCAAAAGCCTACTTCAACTCTTAAACTTCTAACGTTTCTACCTGAACTCTGACTCTCAATAGGAGTAGATAGCTTCACCTATTATCTAGTTTGCATGCCTTCCCTGTCTTTTGAACAGGAGTAGAGGTTTATTAATTGTTCTCTGTTTAGAATTGGGTTCCTTCTAAATTCTTTTAATTCTCTTTCACTACTGGTAGCCTCTTGTGTCTTACTGGCATTGTCAACTTATTTGGGGTGAATTAATTAAAGAAAAAGGAAAGAATATTACCTTTGTAGACAGTCTCTTTTTAAATAAGGATGTCACCATCTTATTTAGAGCAATATTATTTAAAAATGAGTAATGTGCAGAATGCATACTGGATGTTGTAGTTGATCTTAATGTTAATTCATGAATAGTATAGCATATTGCATGAAATAGATCAACAACAATCTGAAGTTATATGAAGTGGCTATTTTAAAATTTTTTACCATATATTATTTCTTTGTGAGAAAGCAGATACTATTTTTATCAGCCAGTAAATAAGAAATTAACTGCTATTCATATTTCATCTGAATAAAAAAGAAAAAAGGCCTCTAAATTATATTATTAGCAATCCTACCCTCACATCCCGAGAAATGTTTTATAGAAAAGGATGTTGTGTCTTTGCGGGTTAATTTTCTCAGCTGACATGAAGTGGAAAGACTACATTGAATCCATTGCTAGGTTAACTGCTAATAAAGATGGTTCATTGTGTCATGCTTATGGTTAAGAAATGCTCAAATTTTTTAACATAATTAGAATTATTTTTAACACCATTTTGACTTTTGAAACATTTCATAAAACATATTTTGTTTGGATATTCAAGGTAACTTGTATATTGAATTACAAATTTTAGTTTAAAATGCTAGAATTTACTTAAATTTCAGTCTTAGCTCCTCCATATTTTATTTCAATCACAGACAGCAATGCAGATGTGCAGATTGTTTAATGGATAGCGACTGGCACTGAGAAATTGGAGAGCAGAGTTTGAATTTCTGTTGAGTTCATTACATTCACTTATGCACAAAAACGTTTGGGAAAAGTAGGAATCCATTTCCTCCTTAAATAATAGAACATTTACCTGGAAAAAATCACTGGTATTCTCAAAAAATTTTGAATGCAATATTTACTTGCACAAAACATATTCTTACAATCCAAAATATGTTGTGGATTTAAAAATAGTCCACAAAAGGTTGAAAAACTATGAAAAAACAAATCAACAACTGACAAGAAAGCCACTTTTTCTAAAATGTTAAAAATAGTAGCACTAATTTGATCACTTTAGAATACTGGAGAAATTTCCTATATCTGCTACACTGAAAGATTTAATATAAAATATATGTTCATCTATTATATATATTGCTGACTTGAATTTTGTCATCTTTAACTCACCTTGGTGGATAAAGGTGTCTATTTCTGATCACAGACAGCAACCGCCTGAAGATTGTGTGTTGCGCATGAAACTGACTGTCGTGGTCAGTCGCTGCTTTACTGGAATTTAGTTTATAAAATTTAGTCTTGCCACTATGTATGGCATGGAACACTCAACCCTTTTAGGTGTCAAACCATAACTAAATTCTTTTTAGGATTACTTATTTCCCTTCCTTATTATTATATATATATATATATATATATATATATATAAAAGTTAAATTTTTGTTTTTCAACATAGTGCTAAGGAAAGTTCTCAGCCTTACCAACATCAGAATTAATTTCTTATCTGGTTTTTAAACTTTTACTGGTACAACCAAGAAGTTTTAAGCATTGATCAGGTATCATTGCTAATGGATATTATACATGAATGTTGCTCTGAAATTAATGCCTCATATTTTATTATATTGACCCAAATAACAAGGCCTGTCCTGGGTATAACGATAAACTACAACCGTGTCCAGGGTAAGATGATAAACTACGTCCAACAGCAAGGCTTCTGATTAGGAGGTTTTGAAGAGCATGGCACCACCTCTTAATTGCTGGTGCTCCCAAGTCCACTCTGACCCGGGGTGGTAGCACCTGTTAGGGTCCCAGCTATGGGCAAATAGTTAACCCCCAAACTGAGGTAAAAAGCCTTATGAAAGTGTAAAAATAAGTTTTAGTACCAGAAATACTTTGTAAAAAATTATTACCAGAAATAAATTTTTCAAAAAAAAAATATTTTTTGACCAGTAATATATTTTTTTAAACAAAAAATAATATTACAATTTTGTTTTAAAATAATAATTTACCAGCTGTATTTTTTGAGGAAAAAAATATTAAAAGAAATAGATTTTTGAAAAAAAAAATATTACCAGGAAAAAAATAATATGTTGGCATTAAATAACCCATTGAGGTTGATATGCCATAAAATAAAACAAAACAAATAACAAGGCATTTAATACAGTTTTATAGCAGATGAAGTTGTCTTGATAAAGGAACCAATTGTAGAGCAAAGTAACAGGTCTCAAAGAGCAAAGTAACAGGTCTCACATGACCTTTTATCACTCTGTAGCTGTGTTCAGGATACTCTTATATTAGAGATCCTTATATGATTTTATCTCAGTGTTTTGTTTTTATTTATAACTAATTGGTCAAATGGCATTGTCAGAACAGCCATCCACTTAACCAAAAAGGAAAAAAATAGAATAAAAAGAAAGGATAAATACAGTGTCTCAAAAAAATGTATACATGCTAACCCTACCTCTGCAACAATCCATCATGCCAAGAATTAGAGAATCTTTTACACTATGGGGACTTTTATTTTCAACAATGAAGGACCCCCCCCCCCATGCTACCATTATTATGTATGACCAATTTTACCTGAATGAAATCTTGCCAAACAGATGGATTGGAAGACAAGGTTCTGTAGAATATCCTCATCATTCACTGGACCTTATCCCTTTAGACTTTTCCTTGTGGTGATACTTAAAAGATAAAGTCTATGCTAAAAAGCCAGCAACAATAGCTGAAATGAATTTCCCAGGTTTGTGCATGCCAGTGAGAATAGTGATGCAACGTGGGGTTATGTTTCTCTCTGAATTTCTGGGATGAAGAGTTATCATTAATATTTACACTATTTCCCTGCAGACTATTGTCCTCATCATGTTGAAACACAGGTCTCCGTCCAGTCATCAAAATTAAGCAATGCTAAGTTTGGTCAGTACCTAGATGAGTGACCACTTGGGAAATATCAGGTGCTGAAGCTTGTGTGTAGTGTAATGGATAATGTCTTGGAATTGTTAAGGTCTTCATAAAGTGTATTGTTTCATGAGACATCTCACTAAGGCCAATGGGTACATTGGCTGAAACGTGATAACGAAAAAGATGAATACAATCGTTTACGTGTAAATAGTGTAAATAATAGTGTGTTGTATCCAGGCAGTGAATAGTGGTGTTATGTATCCAGTCAGTGAAAAGATAAAACAAACAACTAAGTATATAATCAACAAGATTTATATTCCATGACATTTATTTCCACCTTTTGTCTTCTTGTGAATATACAATAGACCTTTCCCAGTTTTTTTAGCATGTAAATGTGTATACAAACACAGCAAAAGGCTATATGTCTGGTTGCTGACAAGTTGATGGAGGCATTTCTTGTATGTTCACACTTCAGTGGTATTTTCTTTCCAGCTGAATTTTATATAGTAAACCTTTTCTTGAATTTCAAAAGTGGTAATGATTCTGAAAATCCATAGGAAAATACCAAACAGGAGAGAGTTATAGAAATGAAAAAGATAAAAGTGTCTGTCAGATTTTCTGGGATTAGGATGTATTATTTATATGGAGACTATAATCTTTATCTTTGTTGTTATTATTATCAGATTGCCTTCTGTTTGATTTTCTGGGATGTGGAGGTATTATTTATATTGTCTATATGCAGACTATAATCTTCATCTTTGTTGTTATTATCACCTGATCGCCTTCTGTTTGATTTTCTGGGATGAGGAGGTATAATCTACATGCAGATTATTGTAGAAAAGTTTTAAATTCCCAGAAGGTCACCTGGATTAACAAACACATTGAAGAAAGCTCAAGGGTACATCAACTGAAACATTGTGATAATAACAACAAAGGTGAGGACAATAGTCCACTTGTAAATAATGTAAATAAAAAAGGGCTGTTTGACATCCCTAGAAAACTGGTGCAGTCACCTAAAGGGCAGGCTTCAGGGAAAAAATGGCAAAAATCTCATGAAGGCAACATTTTTACTATAAAAGTATATCTTTTATACTAACAATGACCATTTGTACATAATAGGAAAGAGGATTCCTTGAGGAACAAAAATTTTCATGTTAATCCCTTCTGTATATCAAATGTGATAGCTCTATATAAAATTAGTTGACTGTATAAACAGACAAACACTTACCAATCACACACACACACATATATGTGTGTTTGTGTGTGTGTATTTAGGCAGCAAATTCTCTTTTAGACATGTCTAATTGAATAAATTGCCAACATTACATCTGCTTATTTTCATCATACTCCTTTCATATACTTATTGTGATGAAGACCCAATCAACAACCCTTTGTAGGAGCTAGCTTAAATACCACCGAATATATATATATATATATATATATATATATATATATATATATATGATTAATCCAAATATAAAATTTATCACTGAGCTGATGGATGTTATATTCAGCACCTCAGTGTTTTGTAGACAAACCTTTGTGTAATTGTTCAGTCCACTTGTCAGTGTAACCCCCTACACTCTGCCACTTGGTCTTCATTCCTTCAGACCTCCATGGTTTTCCATCTAGCTGACTCTTCACTTGTTAATGCATTGTGGCTATCATGATAATGTTCCACTTGATCTAGCTGGCATTTGTCTCCTTCATAATCCTTCACAACTCTGCCAGGTTGTGTTTTAGATCTCAGTGGGCGAGAAGATTACTGATGAAGTAAACTGAAGTGAAGAACAGGTCAACAGCTGAGAGCTGATGTTCCACTTGATTTAGCTGGCATTTATCTCCTTCATAATCCTTCATGACTCTGCCACGTTGACAACAGCTGAGAGCTACACAAAAAATATTTTTTTTGAATATTGAAGTAACTCTGGTTAAAAATGTAAGAACAATTTGGTTTAAATATGATTTGTTGTATATGGAGGTTTTAACCCTTCCCACTTACTGTTATAATCAAATGAAACTGGGTTTGGTTACCTCCCACCTTTCGTATCAACCTTTTTCTAAAATACTATATTTTCAAAATATATTTATTCAAGTAATTTTCCAAATTTAAGAGTGGTCCAGCCTCCTTTTGAAAGTAGTCAGAGGAATCAATCCACCCCTTAACTCAAACTCCCTTCACTTCTCATCTCACAACATTGCTCCATACACACAGTGCTAATCTCTCTGTTCCTTCTCCCACTCTCTCAGCATCTAACCTCAGCCCAATCTAAAGGCTGGTACAACTGTCTTTGTGACATCTAAACTTTTAGAATGTGTAGATGAAAAGGAGATTTACATTGATTAATCTTTCGTTATCAGCTTGTCTCATCTTGTTTTAGGTGATTTCCCAAAGATAGCGGCTTGATGATTTCTAAGATTATCGGAGCCAATCCTAAGAATTGTTTTGTTCATTTTCAGTCATCATGGGTGAGAAAGGAAAGAAAATTTTCCCAACATCTTTCGTTATAAAAAAAAAACTATTTTTCTCTGTTTATGTGTTTCTCAGTCAACCAGGCCACACAGCCTGTCACCTATGGTCACTCCAGGTCTAGTAATTAATTTTTCTTTATCAGCTTGTTTTCAAAAGAGTCCAAAATATTGTTGGCCATAAAGATTTTGACGAATGTCACATGAATTAAAATGAATGAACCTGTCCCCAATCTTAGGCACTAATCTTTATTTTTGTAGGGATATTTTTCTTATGGGTAGCCAATTCAACCCAGATGTTTTTCCTGGCTCTTTGTCCAGAACCTTTGAGATGTTATTTCCATTAATTAATATTTTCCCATTTTCTTTATCAACAGCATATATTTTTTCTATTTTCCAGGACTAACATCTTCGATGATTAATTAATTGTCTCTTTCTTATCAGTAGGTGTGGGGAAGAACTGATAGTCTTAGTTTTGCTCAATCTTACTGAATTCTTTCTGTCTAGTTAAATTTAGTTTCAATTCGCCTTGGAACTGTTCTTTGGTTCATTTTATTATTTCAGAACAAAATTTTTAAGACATTTCGTTTATAATTTTTTCTCAACTTTTCAATCCACTTTCTCAAGAATTTTAACAATTATCATCCAGTTAGTCGTCTCTCTCCTCTTCCTTTTTCTTTCTTCGGATTAACTCTCTATGGTCCAAGTGTCACATCAGGAGGTATCAGCAAATGTATGTTAATTTTCTCGTTTTTGTTATTTTTATATTAATTTAAAAAATAATGATGCAACTAAATTTGCACACAAAGGAGAGGGGTACTGAGAATTTTAAATATAAATTTTTATATATATATATATATATATGTTTTGGGTATACAGTCTAACCCATTTCATTAGTTTCTTTTTCTTTTTATTAGAGAAAGGTGAATTGTTGTAAGAACCTGGATGTTAATTTACTCTGATTCCTATAACATTTAACCTTTCTTGGCAGATCTTCTATTATCAAAATATTGGATATTTAATAACAAAAGTGATAAAAACATAAACAAAAAGAAATTAAATACTGTTGATTAGAGTACCTAACTGTTGTGTAGGAACCTACCACCCCTCTTGAAGATGAACTCGTCTACAAACAAGGACGTTAAATAGTGGCATGTCAAAAGACAGTGTCGGAGAAGTTCTGGGCTGAGTTAGTTATAGACTACTCAGGCGATTTCTGTACCAACTTACGAAAAAACAAGTCGAAAAAAGATAGTGTGAATATTGTATTGTCACGTCAGGAGACTGAGGAGGGGCAGAAAAGAAAATTCGTACAAGTAAAAATTAATGGAAAAAATGTTAAACTACAGCTAGATACTGGAAGTGATATTTCCATTATTAATACAGAAACATGGATTAAAATAGGCAGACCTTTGCTTAAAAAAGACTGAAAAAAGTGGCTCATGGGATTTCTGGAAGAAAATTGCATTTTCAAGGTGAATTTTCTTGTAATATTTCATTTGTTGGTAAGACACTAAAGTTTAAAGTGTATGTGCTACAAAATGCTTCAAATTTGTTTGGAACAGATTGGATTATACTGTTTAATTTATGGGAACTCCCTATAAATTCTTTTTGCAATAGAGTTAATGTTTCTTCTCGGTGTAAAAATCGGGTTACAGAAAATTTTGTGAAAGATCTGAAAATAAAATTGCCACAAGTATTTTCAGAAGGTCTTGGATGTTGCAAAAAGGTGAAGGCAAAATTTGAAGTGAAGGAAAATGTAAAACCTATTTTCAAGCGAAAAAGAAATGTGCCATTTGGTGTTTTGGAACAGACTGACAAGGAATTGGAACGGCTTGAAAATTTAGGAGTTATTTCATGCATTGAATTTTCAGAGTGGGCCTGCCCTGTTGTATATATTAAGAAAAAGAATAATAAAATTCGGATGTGTGCCGATTTCTTTACGGGTCTAAATGATTGCTTAAAAGACCACACATTTAAGTCCAGATGCCAAAAGGAAAATATATTAATTCCTTCTGAATTAATCTCAAGGGGGAGGTGTTGTGTAGGAACCTACCACCCCTCTTGAAGATGAACTCGTCTACAAACAAGGACGTTAAATAGTGGCATGTCAAAAGACAGTGTCGGAGAAGTTCTGGGCTGAGTTAGTTATAGACTACTCAGGCGATTTCTGTACCAACTTACCAACCGAATAAACCCCATTTTATTGTTACATGTTATTTGGCGTTTGTCTTTATTAACCCCAAATTAACATCATAACACTAACTGAAACATTTAAAAAAGAAAATTTAAATTTAAAATTATCAGTGCCCACTCTCCTTTGTGCACCTATGTACTCGCATCAACATCAACATAAACATAACTTTAGTCCAATGAAGTACTGATAGATAAAACCCATCACATGGAAACTTTTCCCCTAAAATTGTTCTTGCTATATAAAAATTTATATATTGTTTTCCCATATATATATATATATATAGTGACATGGCCTTCTATGCTAACTGTTGAACCAGACATATAATTTAATAAGGGATGCTCTTTGTGTTTTTCCTCCTTCCATTTTTTTTTTATTTATTTTACTACCTATTTGGACTGAGTCTTATTTTGGCAAAGGAAGGTTAGGAAAGGAATTTGGGGTTGCTTGACAACAAACAGAATGGCCTCCTAAGAAAATGAGTAGGAAATGGTCAACTACACTCACGTGACATACATCACCAAGTGAGATTTTGGCATTGTAATTTTAGTTTCCCCAGATGACCTCTGACAACAGAGAAAAATAGGCTCTCATCATGTGATTGTAAGGGAGGAGAAATACACCCACAAGCCTATTCCATTACTTGTTGTTTAGGGAATATGGAAATTTAATCCCGGAGACCTTGTGTCTATTTGACTATTTAATAGGTAAAAATAAACAAATATTGTACCCAAATAGATACAAAGAAAACATCTGACTTTCATCTCAGATGCAATCCAATTAACCAAGAGAAAACACAAACATTATTCTGGAATTCTATATTTCCCATTAAGGAAGAAAAAACAACCAACTTTTGTGAACATTCTGTGTGAGAAAAAAACAAAAAAACAAATACCTTCTTGCGACACAAAAAATGAACACCTTCTTGCGACACAAAAAACGAACACCTTCTTGTGACACAAAAAACGAACACCTTCTTGCGACACAAAAAATGAACGCCTTCTTGCGAACCAGAAACGAATGCTATACAAAAACGAACGCCTACTTGCAACACAACACTTTACGACAGCCAACGAGCAAAATGGCACCCAAGACTGCTGCCGACAGACGACCGACCGCAACAGCTTTTGTCGTCCAAGAAAAGACGCCAAACGACTCGCGCATCTTCTTATAGTCCTCAGTCGAATCCATTATGGTACTCCAAGGTGTGCCCGGTGACAACACACACATGCAGTTCGAGGACGTTTCTGCACATGCTCGTTACACATTCTACAACAACTTTGTCATTATGTGCATTCAACCTTCAAATTCCTGAAACACAAATGTTGAACTGATGTCCAGTATCGTTAAATGTTCTTTTATTAATTGTACGTCTATTACTCCATATTTTTCCTATATTTTGTTATATAAAATTTATTTACAAATCTTAATCTTTTGTTTGTTGTTCGATGGCACCTGTTCATGTGTTCCTATCTGAGTGAACCCACCTTTTTTTTATTTATTTATTTATATATATATTTTTTAACAACAATATATTTTGGTTGGCAGACGAAAATAAATATAATATTTAATAAATGAACTGAGTGTCTACTCAAAGAGAGTATCCGCTAAAAATAACATTTAAATAATAAAATCTGTTGGATTAATAAACAAAAATTCATCATTTCTTTAGAAATTGCTTTGTTTTCATTGGGATATGAAACTGAGAAGATATATTTTGAGATTCTGGGAGAGATTTGTGATCAGACGACACTATTCAGCTTTTCTTGATCATCAATGCTCTTCGTGGCTGACATGGACTAAAACACATTGATTCCTACGAAAATTTACCTTGCCAAACGGGACATAAGTTCAAATCCTGCCAGGGAGCACATATTTTTCTTTAATAAGGTTTCTAAAATATTCAGGCCAGTAGATGAAAATAATTATTTATAATGTTTAATAAATAAATGGAGCATCTACTCAAATATAGGTATCCATTCAAAATAACATTTTAGTAATAATATATGCTAACTTTATGTGTTGCTAAAACTTTTCTTGCCTTTGTTTTGTGTTACAGAGTCTGACAAAAACACAATCACTCCTGACACAAGCTTGTTTGGGGCTCCCAATTCTGCTGTTAATGATACAAAGAAAGTGAATAGGGTCCGGAAAATAATCGCTGAAGATCCTATACAATCAGGAACCCAAGTTGTATTGGATGGAACTGTTCCTGCAGGACTTAGCCTTTCCGATTTGAAAAAGGTAGTGTTTTTTGGGGTTTTTTTGTTTTTGTTTCTCTGTGTGTGTGAGTGCATGTTAACTTTATTTTTTCCTTACAAAAATAAGTGACCTCATTTTTTTAAGGACACATTAAAGTTGTTTGATTTGACCAGATGAAAGCATCACCTGCTGATGAATAGGAATACAAGCAGCCAAACCATTATTCCAAGGACAACTGAAAACTGAACATATTGTGTTTAAGCTCTGAAACTGTCCAGTATATTTTTTCTCACCCAATGCTATAATACCATGGATGGAGCATGTAAACAATGAGGAAGTTTTAAGGAAAATAGATACAAAAAAGGACACTTATACTTAGAATCAGAAAGATGTAACTGAAATTTCTGAGACACATAATCAGGCTTGGAAAATTTGACACTCACAGGACATATTAAAGGCAAAAGGGATGGGGGTGGCAGCAAGCCATCTACTTGATAAAGCAAATGAATCTCTCACCTCTTTGAACAAATTATTAGAAATTTTTATGGAAAAGGGTGGGTTCATTTTTAATTAGAAGGTGGAAATGGGTAATTCAACAATATTTGTTAGCCTAGGATGAAGAATTCAATCTTTGAAAGGATTAGCATCAACAATCTTCATAATAGTCGACTGAAAGGGTGAAGAGCATAGTTTAAAAAAACCCCTGTAATCAGCTTTCCTTGCATAAGCTGGTGAACATGTCAGGTTCATTGATTGTTGAACATTTAATAAATAACCCAGGTGGTGCAATGTCATTACCAAGTATGTTCTGATTATTTTTTAAAAATATTAGAAACAATATATATTGAGACCAGGCAGCCTTCTCTCTGCAAGTAGAAAGAATGGATTCTTGGCCTAAGTGTAATGAGACTATGCTAAATTTTTTTTTCTGTTTCTTGCCTGGTTGTTCTTATTGTCTAATGTTCCTGCTATTTACTTTGAGTTCCTTCAAGGAGGAGTCAGCAACATTAGTGGTCCTGATCTGGTGGCTCAGCTTCAGTCACTTTCCTACGTTTATATAAGTTTGCTTCCCTGTGTCTTTTCTATAAATATTTCATGGTAATTGTTTGGCTGAGCCCTTTGCTGTGGTACCTAACTTTATGGATTTAAGTTAATAACCATTGTACCATTTTTTGTTAATAATCATTGTACCACTGTAGGTGCTTAACTATGGTAAATCTAGTATCACTTCTTTTTATGTGCCATGAGCTTTCAGGATGTAGGCAATCATGGCTCTCCACCTCCCTCTATCCCTCAATGCAGCTCTCAACAAGTTCCTTCCCTCTGCTTCCTCCCCCAGTCTCACGTTGTTTTCCCTTGTCTCTCCCTATATTCGACCTTTGTCAGATTCTCCAGGCCCTCCTTTTTCATTATGTGCCCCAGTAACTTCAGCTGCCTCTTCCTGATGTTATGTATAAGCCTTCTCCTTGTTTGCATCCTCTTTAAGACCTCATTGTTGTCCATAATATCCTTAGCATCCTTCTGTAGAACCACATCTCCGTCGTCTTCAGTCTCTTCATCTTTGAAGAAATTGTCCCACATTCACTGCCATAAAGAAGGACAGATGTCATGTAACAGCTCAATATTCTTTTCTTAGTTACCAAAGAAATCCTCCTGCCTCGCAATACTCTGCTCAGCTTTTGGAATGTGTCCTTGGCCATTCCAATACGTCTATGGATCTCAGTGTTGCTCTTGCCGTCCTCTGTCAGAATGGTTCCCAGATATTTAAACTTCTGTGTCTGCTTGATTCTAGTGTTCCTGACCTGCAAATCACATTTTGGGCTCATCCTTTTGCTGATGACCATGTATTCCATCTTGTAGTTTATGCTTAGCCCCTTCTTCATAGCATTTAAAATCCTGGCTTTTTACTTGAACTTAAATACCAACTTGTGGCACCAAAAGAAAAATATATTTCAGATGTGGAAAATTTGTATTTTAAATACTAATTTGTAGCACCAAAATAAACATATCACTGTTTCCGGCATGAGGTGAATTTAGTTTTTAAATACCAATTTGTGGTGACGATAGAAAATATAAAAGTGTTTCAGACATGGAGTACGGTATTTGTTTTGCATAACATGCAACCTCACATAAAATACTCCAACTCATCCATTTTACAAGGGTATTTTGTGAAAAAACAATGTTTTATCATATATTTATTGAAATGTATTTAAAAGTGCTTTTGTAGTTGCAAATGTATGATTTTGTGCACACAAATACAATATTGTGACAATATACTGGAATTACATATGAAATCCTATATTGTAACTAATTTTCAAAGGAAACAAAATTAAATTTCCCAAGTCAGGAAAGAAATACTGGTACATTTGTAGCAATGAATATTGGTAGATATAAACAAAGCAAACTGATATAAAAAGCAATCAGTAAAGTACAATAAATGTAATTGACTTCTTATAGATAATTAGTATAAAAAGCAATCAGTACAATACATGGGAATGAATTCTTATATATAATTACAGTAAATGTAGACAGATGAAAATATTTCACTGAATATTACCAGTAGTATACATCAAGCAACAGGGAAAAGCCTGAATGGATTCTAACAGAAACTGGTATTTCAGCAAATGGTACAGACTATCCTACATATTTTATTATTAGTAACACAATTTCCTGGAATTGGCTTGTTTTTCAATATTTTATTACTAGCAACAATTTTTGTGCCTTACTGACTCAGGCTTATCCCGCACCCTACCAGTACAGCACTTGGTAGTCACCCATCCATAATATGGCTGTATTAGATGCAGGGTAGTTTTTTGGTATATCTAAAAATAACACAAAAAAAATAAATTGTCTTATGTGAAGGCAAATAGAGTAAATTTGTTTTTTAAGTACCAACTTGTACCAATAGAAAAATATGTAACTGATTCAGGCATGAGGTAAATTTGCTTTTTGAATACCAAATAGAAAATCTGATACATTCTTAAGTTATCCATTTTTTTTATTTTTACAATCCTATACACTCACCTATTTATTCCGTGAAACTGACTTTGTCTTTTTGGGGTGAGGTGGTGGGGGGGGTGGATTTTCTTTTGTAATATATCTGAATTTTCATATCATTTATTTTATGTATTGAAATATTGTGAGTTTGTTTTTAACTATTGTTTACATCTTTCAAAAAATAAATTCCAAGTTAATATTTTTGGAAGTCATTATATTTTGGTTTATGCAAATATGTTTGTCATTCCTGTCTGAATTTCTGGGATGAGGAGTTATTATTTATGCTATTTACATGCAGACTATGAGCACATGGCCAATTCGCTAGAATGTTCGCTTTCTGATTATGAGTTCTGGGTTTGAACCTCACCAGGGTCGATTTGTCAGCAAGGTAACTGCTTGATTTTATCAGTCCAGAGGAAGCAATCCCAGTCTGCAGCACCTTTTGAAAGTGCCTGAAAACCATACCATGGGCTGACGACACAAGCCTTGTGAGTGAAATTGGGTAGACAGAATTGTTGGGAAGCTGTTGGTGGTTGTGCTAACACAAAGTTACAAGTCATCATGACTGAGGGTTTCAGCATGCTGGCCTTGTTCAGACTGTTGATTACACGCTCTATCACAGAAACTGTAACTAAAGTCCATTGAGCACTTTTACATTTTTGCTTATTTTACTCTGCGTATTTTTTTTCTTTTGACTAGACATTGCGGTGATGATTGATTATTTTCAACCAACACAAACGTCTTCCCCGTTATTTTGAAGAGCTTGGTAGACAGTTTCAGTGATGGCCGTAAGCACATCAGCTGTAGATCGGGCAAAACGGAAGCCATATTGCTTGTCTGAGAGCAGATCATGGGATGTAAGGTGGTTAACCACTTCGGCATTGATTAGGGCTTCGAAGACTTTGCTGAAGAGGGGTAGGAGACTGATAGGACGGTAATTAGAAGGGTCAGAGGGGTTGCCAGAGTTCTTGAAAACAGGAACAATCGAAGAGGACTTCCAGCAGTCAGGAAAACAAGATTCTTGAGGCAGTAGTTATATAGTTTAGAGAGAGCAGGCGCAGGTTCAGGCGCGCATTTCTTCAAGACAATGGCTGGTATCCCATCCCCACCACTAGCCTTGTTGGGGTTTAAATTGGAGATAATGCCCAATAGCAAAGACTCAATAGGGCCTCAGTTCTTAGAGGAAAGTCATGTATGGGTACGCCAGAAGAGTCGAGCGTTGAGTTGAATGAAAATTTCCGAACAAAGCATTCAACCTTGTCGGCAGAGGAGGTCATGACTTCGAACTGGTTGAACAACTTGGAGCCTTAAACCTAACCTGCTTGCTGATGAGTGCAGCAGCACTCACAGTGTAAATTTGTTTTGTTTCTTTTTTGTTACCTTTTCATTTGTTATTTTAATGTTGGAAAATTTTTATTCTTTTTTTTTAAAGATTTTATCTACCAACCTAAGTTTACTTTTTTTTTATTTAACATCTACTTAACATACCCTCTCTATAAAAAATCCTCAATAAGAACCAGATCAGACTGAAAGTGGACTACTGCTGCCACGTATGTGCAGGAGCTGCCCATTCTTCATTTTCCAATCTCAGTTGAGTCCAAAAGCATCTCTGTGTCCTTGTGGGTGACAAATTATTTTCCATCCTACAACCCACTTCTCACAGACAAGACATCACAAGTCTCTCATTGTTCTATTGCTATTTCTATAGAAAGTGCTCAAACAAACTACATTCCTTAGTTCCACCAGTTCTAACCTTCATGGATAAAACCTACCATGTTACACACATTGTAGTGAACAACCCTCACTCCCTTTGTATTCCATTGGTAAGATGTAAATCCACTTGAGCATGTTCTCCCCACAATCCACTGCTTTGTGGAATCTACTCCTAAAAGGATGCTTTCCTGATCACTATAGTCTTAACCTGTTCAATTCTAGGATTAAACTGTGCCTCTTACTCTGTAACCCTCTACCTCAAATATCTCCTGGAACATCACAGTAAAAAATTTTTTTTAAAATCAAATCTATAAACAGATTGATAGAACACA